ACCAGCTTGTATTCCTGCACAAAAATCTGGAAATTGAAAAATAAGCACTGAGAAAACACTATAACATGTAAAATCTCAGATTTGAGAATGTTTGGTATTTTGGTTGAGTCTCATAAGCACTTTTATTTAGATGAGTAAATTCCCCTTTTCAGGTTTTACTAAATGTGTTCCATTGATGGACATTGCAGAGCTGTACTTTATTTTATTAACACTTAATTTTAATAGCACTTTACATTGTTTGTTAATGTTTACTTGGATGGATTCTTCAAGCAGTTTCATTTTTGATTTATATTTGTTTATGTTAAGGTCACATAAAAGGTGCTTTGTTTGTTATGCTTTGCTTCATAGAGCAGTTTTTGGATAAGTATTTTACAATCATAGTACTTAGTAAGTAACAACATGTTACATTGTTTACCTTTTTTCATGTTAAAGAAATAGTTGATATTTCAGTAAAGTAGTTTTTGTATGTTTATTTGACATGATTTCTCATAAGGCAGATGTTAATTTCTCCATTCATTTTGAACTTAGAGAGAGTGTTTTTGTTTTAGATGGCTCATGTCAAGCATTTAACAGTTTCGACTGTTTACTGTGAGTTTTCCTAATTAAATTCAGTCCTAAACACAAATATCGTCTGGCTTTTAGTATCGCAATATATCGTATCGTCTCCCCTGTATTATGATAGATATTGTATCGCCAGATTCTTGCCAATACACACCCCTATTCTGTACATGACGTTTTCATGTCTCATTTAGCTTTGAAATAAAATTTCATTCACATAATACTTGGAATAACTGAAATTGTAAAAATATAAATACATACCTCACAGTAACTGCACTTGTAGAGTCTCTTTCTGGTGTGGATCTGTTGGTGTGATTTCAGGGAACGTGGCTCTTTAAAAGCCATTTCACACAGGTCACATTTATAAGGTCTCTGTTCAGTGTGGGTAAACATGTGCTGCTTTAATTCTTTGTGTGTCACAAAAGCTTTACCACACTGATCACAGCTGTACGCTTTAACTCCACTGTGGGTGACTTGGTGTAATTTTAAGGAGTGACTATAGGTAAAACACTTTCCACACAAGTCACAGCTGTACGGTTTAAATCCACTGTGGATGAGTTTGTGTATTTTTAAGCCTCTAGGATGGGTAAAATCCTTCCCACACTGATCACAGCTGTATGCTTTAACTCCAGTGTGGCTGAGTTGATGTGTTTTTAAGCTTCCAGACTGGGTAAAAGACTTTCCACACAACTCACAGATGTACGCTTTAACTCCACTGTGGACGAGCTGGTGTGATTTTAAGGCATGACTATAGGTAAAAGACCTTCCACAC